ATTGACATTTACCAAGATGGGCTAACTTCATGTTCATTTTTTATCCTGCACTGGTGCCTACCATTAGGCAGATACATTTCATTATCAAAAAAGACAAAAAAAAATACATATTCTGAACTGTACTTCTATATACAGGCTACTGCACTAACCCAGCGAAATGGGAGCATGTCAAGTGTAGCGTTCACGTCGACGTCAACAGTTAACAATACCTCTGACTATACCATCTGAGACACTGATAATTACCTATAAAAAGTGCGTGCGTGTGCCATGCGACAGCGCCTGTTTGACTGTTTGTGATCAGGTTTCACGTAAAAACGCAAAACATTTCATTTTATAGCGCGATAGTAGTAGTGAACTTTTCACAGAATATGTTGTTAAATATAGATCCATATACCTATTTGCTAAAGAAAGCTTAATGTTTATAATATGCCTTTTATTAAAATACGCATTATTAATACTAGATATTTAATTCAAATATTTATTAATAAAATAATGTATCGTTGGATAAACGGTTTATTTTTTGTTGTCGATTGAATATCATCAATAGTTTACGTCTACAAATATAAACGGATGCATAGTTGCAGGTACCATAAGCCATAAATATTTTAAATACATATATTCCTATTACATGGACGGTCATCCTAATACAGTATAACTACTTTTGATACAAAGATATATGATATGAGATATGGTGAACCATAGTATAACGAAGACTTTTTAACGACTACCTAAAGTGTATTTACCTAATTATCATTGGCCTCTTTCTATGAAATAAAAGAGGTCAGATTCTAAAAAAACTAGAGCTGAACACCTGTGTCAGCAAAGATCTATTTATGATAAAGGTACGATAATTAGGTCGCACTAATAATCAAAGTAATTAATTGTTCCACATATTTCATAACTAAAATAAGATAATTTGACAAGTTTGTTACTGTATCAAGAAAGGAACACTACAGATATCTGTAGCATACAGACATGCATTAATCAGTCATAGTTTATTTCACGGATTAAACTAATAAACATAGAGTAAGATCAAAATTTATCAGAGAACTTGGCTATATGATACCTTTGACTGACTAAATGACAAAAAGAACATAGAGGGTCGTACCAAGTTTATGTCACTGCGAACAAAATATTTTTGTAAGAATCTGTGTAACAATTTTGTTTTCAACACGGCATATTTTCAAGTAATTAGTAGCGTTCATTTTGAAGAATATTTTTCTGATGTTATTATATTTTGGTGAAATTCACAGAAGGGCGCTGTAAGCTTTTATAAAACGTAGTGTTATTTTCTCTGGACCATACGTAGTGAATTCACGAACTAGAATTAAATTATCTTCTATTTGAACTCTTTATAAATATAGAAAGGAATTTTTCATTACTTTCATTACTAAAATTTCCTTAAAACTTTTCATTATTAAATTGTTACCATTTCGGGCCGCCTGTGCTTAATATCGTAATCTGCTATAAATGTAAGATGTCTTTTGTCTTTCTGTTACAAAGCGCCTATAACAAAAGAAATAGATTAATTGTGCTGGTAAATACAAATTCCTTTTAATTGTTCAAAATTCTTTAATATATAATCTATTATAATTCAATGCCATTTAATTGCAGACGGTTTTGTGTGTAAAATATTTATAATATAAAAAACTAACTTCTTATTTTGACGCTTTGCTTCTGATGGTCACGGGTTCGATTCCTCGTACGGTACAAACATTTGGATTCATGAGTATAATTGTTTCTATTAATCTCGGTATTTTCTATGTATATTATGTATGTACTGATACAAATACTTTATAAATATGTACATATTACACAAAAATATCTAAATATTTGTTTGTCTGGTAAGTACCATAACTAGCTCTGTTTAGCTTAAGACTAGATGATCCCATGTCCAGGGTTATTATTAGGTCTTATTTACTTAAACTTTTATTTTTGTTTTGTTTTAATAAAATAGTGTCAATTTCCACTGGATAACAAAATTTATATGGAGAAAAGCATAGGCTGGACTATCATATAAATGTTGTTTTTTGTCGATTGATTGTAGAAGAAATTATTGAAATTTAGAACTTCCTTTCATGAAGAATTTTCAAAATAATTACCATAGTGTATGCCATCTAGACGATACGGTCGGCGGCTATGACGCGATGTCTTACATTAAAACAGGCCTCGTTAGATATGCAATCTGTGGCCTATATACAAGCAAGTAAACACAGTTATTTTCCTCCATGAAAAGAACATTGTAGGACAGCGCTACCTTCATTTCCAATGGTGTAGATTACTAATGAATATTGTTTACAAAGAGGAATGTCCTCTTTCTTTATTTTAAATGGTGCAATGTAAAATAATATATATCTAGGTATAATCTGTTACTTTAACTATACATCAATGTATAGATATGTGATGCAATAGGAATATATACGTCTATATTGTACAGTGTACCTTCTAATATTAATCAATCTAGTTTCTTTTTATTAAAATATTAATTACTTTCCATATATACTTATTTTTTTAAGATAAGATATTCTTTTATTTCTCAGAATACATAGATAGTGCATATATAAAAATCTGCTTCTGGACGTGGAAATAGGCATAAATATATGAATTGAATGAATAAAATTGTACTTTTCTAACATATTTTATAAGTTGTTTACTAACATAACATGGATACGTATCCGAAGTAAATTAATAAATAAAATAAAAAAAATCCTCAATTAAACATTTCTTCATTTAAATGTACAGATATTTGCGACAACATAGATAAACACTATATAGCATATATTGTATTATTTGTAATTGAAATACCTAATTGTAGAAAACTTTTTCAATAATTATGCATTATTGTGAGTTTCGTCTGAGCATAATTTTGATATCACACTTTCTTAGTCCACCTTGACTTTAATACATACGAGTATATATATCGTTTTTTATTTCTCCCTTCTCAATACAAAGTATTCATCATTGGATTTGCAAAAATAACAGCTGTAAGAGATTTTAGAAACATAGAAAGAGAAATAAGTCATACTAAGAGCATTTAATAAATAATCACTGTGTTTGTTCTAATGACATTCCTTAATCGTTTAAACGTCTGTCATAATATATGCATATATGTGGCCTTTGGAGTGGAGGATGTAGACTATTTTTTATCCCAATCGATCATGATCACTTGAACAAACTTTCGTAGGCAAGATTTGGCTTTGAACTATTCCATAAGCCCTTCTGCAGGTTTGGAGTACCATCCGTACTCACCCTCTATCGTTCGGTGAAGCTGTAAAGGCCAGCTGCGGCCAACAGTATTAGAATTTTCGAGAAAAACTTAAACAAAATCGCGGGAAATAACTAGTGGATAAATTAAACTAATAAACATGATGTATTTCGTAATAAGATATGACAAAGTCGTGCGTAATCATATGTTTAAATATACTTATCAATGTAATCTGTTTACCATATGTAAAAAATATATGACGCTCAATTAATTAAAATAGCACTTGATTCTTTATCTTTTTAATGATATTCTTTAATGGGAATGTGCTGTTATATATCATTCATAACGATTAAACGTACACACCTACAAAGGTATGTGTATATTTAATCATATGATCTAGTATAAGCATATTGCATGCAGTTGGTTACTGCAAAATAAGATAGTAACCATATTTTAATATTCAATCAATAATATTTAGACTTTAAATGCAAAAATATATATGTCTATAATTTTGCATTTAAAGTCTTAATATGTCCGTTTGTTACTATACCACGACAAAACTTTCAAACTGATCGATGAAATTTCTCGTGAACTTAAATTGTATCTCGAGGGCGGATATTGGTTATGTTTTGTGTCAAAAAAGCAGATGAAAGTAGTAGGTCATACTTTGGTATAAACGGAAATTATTTCTAAGAACTAAGGTGTCATGCCACTTTAGCATATAATTACACCTTTACATACAGGAACACAGTTGGCAAAGCAAGCTGCTTGGTGGCAGGAATAAATAAGACAGAAGTTCACGCAAAGGACTTTGTGCAATATATGTTACTGGCCACTTACGAAATTACTGATATAATATATACTTGCATGTTAATCGTAACATAAAAGCATTGTAACGATTGTAATCACTTAAAAATTCCAAATTCAAATTGAATTAATTCTAATAAATTGAATTAGTCCAACGAGTTATCATAAAACAGTCTTAATATATGTATCTCCATCAAATACATTTAACATGCATACCTTATTAATCCAATTTGTTTTGAAACATTGTAATAATGAAATGAATTCCCATTTCGATTTGGAATATGGCTGCCAATTGCTATTACGTTAATTGCTATATGTAGGCGCGACAAGCCTTCCACCGAATTACGGTAATAAAAATAATGTATAATGTTTCTTGCATGTTTGTAGATTGTATGTACATATGAGGAGTAGGTAACTCCCCTAATAATGGGCGAGGTAAACTTTGGTCGAAAACTTGCCTTTTTGGATACCTCAATTCTCTTTATTTCAAACGCCAAACAGCTCACATAGCAAGCTATATTTTGATTGCTAAGATTAGGTAGTCAAATTACAGGTTAAGAGGTATTATATATTGGTTATCTTGATTCTCTGGTATGGCAACGTATGAGTTATATCATAAACGAATGTACGTAGTGCTGTTGCAAGTACAATTGTACATAGATAGGCCATATTTAACTCGTTCCTTTTTAATCTCAGGACATCTTAACAGTTCAACTAGTCGTTGTGAAAATTACCACGAAGTTTTTTTTTTTTTTTCAGAAACGATAATGCTGTAAGTTGGCATATTTTTACCATTTCTAATTATTTCACAATATACAAAATTGAATTTGATATATAAAATTTAATAAACAATAGTAAATATTGCAGTATACTTTCATCATAAAGCAATTTACGTATAACGCTCTGGTAGAGCGGGGGGGAAACGCCGGTTTATATTGTAAAGGACCACGAGACTTCGTCATTCGTTTACAATCATCCGTACTCGTTGTGTTAATGAATCGAATAAACTTCAAAACTACGTTTATCGAAGTATATATCGTTGCGATTATTCGTAATTCGATTGCATTTTAATTGAGTCCGGTGTTTTTAATTAAAAAATATAAAATTTTAAAACATTCTAAATTCAAGCGCTAATTTTATGTTCCATTCATAAGTGTTGCGGTAAATATTTTTGGTATTCAATTTAGCCAGTGTTTTATTTTTTTTAATTTATAAATGAACTACAATTCTAAATTCGAACGCTCATTCTGTTCTGTTTATTAAATTTTCGTCGCGTGTTAAAATAGTGCTGTCTTAGTTTACATTGTCAAGTAAACATAACGGAATGAATGCATTGCTTCCCTAGTGCATGCAGTTCAGTGGCCGTTCATTTAAGTTCCATAATCGCGAAGACCAAAGGCTGTAGCCATGTCTTTACTATGGATGAGCGCATTTAATCTGAGCTTAACAGTTGGTGCTACATTAATTGTTGTTAAAAGGTAAGTGCACGCTATAAGTCACTATACGTTATACTTTCATACCAGTTATACGTAATTTTTATTAAAAAAATAAAAATATTTTATCTAATTTTTTCCATCCATAATTCACTTTATTCATTTAATACATACAGGTTGCATTGACATGCAGATAGACGTATTAATGTATGTAATGATTATTTACAAATATGATTTTATTGTATATAAAAAATAGTCGTCAATTATACCCATTTATATAATTAGGACCCATTTTAATTGATAGCATAGAAATCAGTACAAATACAATTAAGTTGAAAGTTACTATACCTATCACACAACATCTTATATTTTATAACTTTTGTTGTTTAATCATAACTCTAAAGCTCGGTCTAATGTAAATTTAACTGGAAAGTAGATAGTTTAATACGAGCAAGGCTCATTATTTATGTAGAGCCCTTTCTTTGTGAGCCCAATTACTCTTGGAAGGTTACACAAGAATGTGATATTGTGATCAAATTGCCTTTTGAAAGTAAACCTTAGTTCCCTGGAATTGGATGTTCAGAGTATTAAATTACTATAGGTATATTCCGGAGCGCTGCTTGCTTAAAAATTATATTATATATTTTTCTTGGATATGATCTATCTGTGTATCAAATTTTATTTGAATTAAAACAGTAATTTTTGCGTAAACAGCTGTCATCCTCGTCTCCATCATAATTTCAGCCTGTATCGAATGTTGGATATAGGTCTTCTCTGATACCTAATGTGTGAGTGGAGAAAACCTATATGCAACAAGATACAATAACAAAATTAAATATGATTATCTACTTTCATTTAACCACACCTTAAAATTTTGTATAGATTTCTATAATCGTCGGAATACAAAAGTAAATAGTACATTTTTATATAGCATAGCAGTGAAATAGAATATAGTTCAGGCTGTTTGCCTGAACCTGAAAAGTACTTAAAAATCCCTAAAGATCCCTCCCTTAGATTATTGGATTTTAATGTCAGGCGAGACGATTTATAGTAGCTTCTCTGTATTCATATAATGACATCACATTCAAGACTATAATGACTTTATCCAAATTATTCATGATTTGTAATCATTATCGACATTAAATAAGTAGGCAATATACATGTATTTCATAACAGGTTTGAACATAATGTTTTCTAATTTCATCACATAAGTCTTTTGTCTACATTAATAATAATTGCATTTCTAATTAATAAACGAGCATACCTTTTTCTGATGTACTTATGTTTATTATTAAATAGCGTTTTTAAGGTATTTGGTAAGACAAAATTTCTGATTGACCACCCATTTCATAAGTGGTAACCGTCGGGTATAAACAGCACCACATGATATCACGCTATCATGTCATACCCGGACCAGCCATTTCATAATTTTTAAATTTCATCACTGTCGCCTATAGACATGAACAGCACTAGGGATATCACGCTATCATGTCATGCCCGTTGTTCCGCTTGTTCATTATTGCTATTCTGAAGGACTAAAATGCCATGCTTCCGTACTCTGTAATTCATTGTCATATCTCACAGTACAACCAAAACCAAGCATACAAAACAACCTGTATGGCGTAGAAATAGGTGAGACAAAAGTACACAGCCAGACGGCTATGTATGCTCGTATATTAACATATTTTATATCAGGTTTTGTCATAGTTATGTGATCCTGTTATTATTGTAATGATAGTTTCGCATGTTTATAATTTACTATACTTTGCTACACTACAAATTATGTTTCATATACAGTATATAAAACATATAACCAGTACCTACGTTAGAGTAATAAAGTACTTACAGTACTAGCAACTATATATCGTACAAATAAGGACTAAAATACATACAATATATCGCAAATTAACGCTAATGGAATACTCTGGTACCCTTGAGTACAATACTGTAATTACATAATTTTGGCCGTACCTACAATGTTATTGTATTAAACTGTCATACATTTTTGTGACAATAATTACATTATCGCAAATTGACGGCAATATAACTTATCATAGTATAATAGTAACTAAGAAATTATTTATTACATTAATATTGCCGTTTGTAATGCACTTTTTGATATGCAATTTTCTTATATTTCTACTCTATGCTCAATAGTTATTAAATATTTGTACATGTATGTATATACATATATGTAGTACTACGTATATGTATTGCTTAAAAATGTCTATATCTATTCATATTTCTATACTAATAAATAGTACAATACATAAATACATATATATTTTTATTCTACTGGTTATACGGTAACAGACGCATCACAACAACGAGCAAGAAACTTGCCTGCGTGGTTTTCGCTAATATATTTTACTTAAAATTTAGGGTTATTTAGTTTGTTTATAAACTATTGTTATTCCAAATACTACATAATTATACATAAATAATACGTAATTATATATCTTTGAAGTAAAATCAACAGGTAGAAGAAATTAAAAGTAGATCACTTTTAAATATTTATCGTTTTATCGATCTTGGGGCTATTTTATTAGCGACACCACCAATTAAACTTACTTACCTACCATTTATTTATTCAGTAAAGTCGTACTTCAGGTACGTATACCTGAAGTACGACTTTACATCAGGTAAACATTTCTTATCATTTTGTGTATTTAACTCATGGTTATTTTTTTATTCCCATGCAGCCATGAACATAGTTTCGTTGTTTGTTTTGTCAGACCTTCCATGTGGTTTTGTAAAGTATTGTTGACTCGCCTTCATTGTTTGGTTTACGGTATAGACAATGTTTTTGTTAATGACAATGAAATAGTGATCTCGCCTGCGTGAATTGTCCATAGAGTTAGCCATAAACGGTATACCAAGCCGAAAGTCAGGTAGAATACTCATGAAACCCTTGTTGACGGCCTCGGTGGTCTGGTGTTAGGTTAAGCATGTGTTAGGTTTCTCTCGCAAGTTCGATTTCTCGTACACAACAAATATTTGTATTTATTGTTGTATATGTCTGTAACGGTCTAGGTAAAAAATGTATTTAAACATTGCTATCACTTGTCTAGTACCTATAAAACATGCTCTGATTTGCTTGGGACTAGAGGGTGCTGTGGGAATTGTCAAGGGAAATTATTTATTATTATACTTTTACCAAGAAATAAGGAAATTTGAAAATAAAATAAAAACTTTTCGTTCTAATTGATCGAAAGGCCGCATAATTATTTACAATTTGCAACCATTTTGCTTCCATGGAAAAGTTATTTAGTATTATAAGTAGATACTGTCACTGGATTTGGCTTGATATATGTCTAACTTTTATAAGTAACACAGGAAAGTCACCAGTGAAGGATGAATTAGAATAATGTAGCGAATTCCTAAAGAATCTACCACGAATTGACTACAAGTCAATGCGTAGTAGATTCTTTAGGATTTATTATTTAAAATAAAATCCACCATAAATTTTAATATTACAGTGTTATAACATTGAACATTTATAAAAATGTCTATAATAAAAAGGACAAACGCTTCAATAATTAATATAAATTTATTACATGTTAAACAAGGCTTAAAATTAACCTTCGATAATGCCATAAAAATTCAAATATTCAATTTCTTTGCGTTTTTTCGCATTCTGTAGACATTTTTCATCGTAACTAAGACATCGCTACATAAGTAAAGACTTGAAACAAGACCTCGAGTGGGCGTGTCATTTATCAAACAAGCCCTGAACTTGACTGAGGGCCGAGCGCGCGACCTTAATTGAATATAAAACGAACACAAGAACACATTAAATATTTCTATGCTAATATTTACGTCACATACTACTCGTATTTACGCATTTATACACTAAAAACTGGTTACAATTGACGTATAAAGTAATATTTGTATTTTGATATGATACGGCTTCATGTTCTAGCGGTTTAGCACGTACCTTGGTCGGATGAGTCCTGGTAGATTTATGTATATATAGTATATCCTTAATCCTTAATAATATTATAAATGTGATAGTAGGGATGTTTGTTACACATTCACCCAAAAACTACTGAACTAATCATTATGAAATTTTGTACACATGTTCTTAGAGGAATCTTAGAGGAAAAAACTTAGGATACTTTTTATTAAAAAAAAACAAATATTTTTAATTCTATGGGAGCGAAGCCGCGGGTTAGAACTAGTATCTTTATTATATATATATTAAAAAAAATTGTATCAGTTATTTAGTACCCATGATACAAGCTCTGTTTTTATTATTAAATAATGACAGATTTCACCTATTCGGATTTCAGTATTGTTATTCATCTTGAATAAAAATGTCAAATCACAAACGAAATACTTTAATAAAGTAATATACACAAACCTGCAGAAACAATTTCAAAGTTATAATTCAAACAAAATGCACAAAGTAGTGCATAACAAAACACAGATAAATATGACAATGCTATCTGCTACTGTAGAGATAACATAGATTAAAAATAAATGACACAATAATTAATAAAAAATATCCATCATGTAATAATATAATAAATATTAAACAAACCTTTATAGGTATACTCTGGTACATGCTTAATATGTACTCTTATGCGCAAAAAAATTATATACTTATACCTAGTCGAATACTGTATACACGTTGAGAAACTCTTCGTTTATTAACTCGGTAAGTAATTCGGTTCGGTCTCCAAAAAGGTCAACAGCTGTTCCAATATTGTTTAGTTAAGTTTATATCTACTGCAAGACAACATTTTGTAAATTATTCCAGAGTTTATATCCATCCCTTTGTCCTAAATTGAATTCTAATTATATATATTAGATCGCTCGAATATATTACATATTTTATAATGTAGTTATTGTAATTTATTTTTAAGAATTCGTCGAAAACTCGTAACTTTGGAAACAATGTGATCATTCTTATAAGTGTAAAGAAAATAAATTGACTACAATAATTTCTTAAATCTGTCTCAAGTGAAAGAGTTTGTGCTTACTGAGATATTTCTAATCAAGATTATTTTATTTTGTTATTATATCATTTAAAAATAATATTT